GCTGAATATATTATTTGCACGTGGTCATCTGAGTTCACAGAATTTTGGAATCTTGTGTGATACTATTAGCATTACCAAACAGTTGGGTCTTTTACCGAAGATTAAAGAAAAACTGCCATCATTCCCAGATGTTGATGAAGGAACCATTTCAACAAAATTTACACCTCACAGACAAAATCTAATAAAATTTGGAATGGCACTAACCCCAGACGATGTAACGCTGATCGATCAATTATATAATACACCTTGTAAGAAGTATACTGACGGCTGGAGTATGATCACAGATCTAGAAAACAGACTGAAAATCAGCAAAGGAAAAATGGAGGAATTCATTGGTTCGTTGGAAACCCTTAATCTGCCACTGGCAATTAATGCGCTAACAGAAGGTATTCTCACTGTTTTAAAAAACCATGACATGGGTTTTATGTTGCATTATTTTATCTTGTAAATGTTGTCATAAATTATAAAGAATGGTTTGAAAGATCAGTATGCCGCCCACTTTCTAATACCCGGCTGTCAAAAATCTTTTTCTTTTTTAATTTGCTATGTTCATGTATATATTATCAAGATTTGTAGAATTATTCTGATGAACATTCGCTAAGTGTTATCTTTAATCATTTTAGGTCTGTAGGTCTAATCTGCAAATACTGTTTGGACATCTGTGCCTCTTCTCAACTGTAAGTAGTCTTAGTTTTTGTACTTTGAATTTGTTGATGTTGTGTTTTGATTATGTCCAGGCAGGGAGAAGCCATGTGGTCCATTACACATAAACTTACTTATTTCCCTGTTTTTATCATATATTATTACTCTTAGCAAGGAGGCATAAAAATAGACATCATCAAATTAGACATACTTTGTAGCTGCCTTCTTTTATAGGTGTATTCTGCAAATTTGCATATTTGACCTTCTGTGTAAAAGGCTGTTATAATTGTAAGATAATTTATTGATTTAATATTTGATTGTTTTGACAATGCTCAAAGCGCTCAACACAGTTTCTTATTTTACAGTTAAACTTACCTAAGTCAACTTTGCTAATTCGAATAATTTCTAATTCAAATTTATTTTACATGCCAAATTGTTGTGTTTTCCATTAATTAACAATCTGTAAGTTGAATTTTATCAAAGTCGAACAATTTTTCAATGACATTTTGGATTCGACTTAGGCAAGTTCAACTGTACCGTACTCGCGCGAATAAGCGCCCCGTTTGAATAAGCGCCCCTCTCGAATAAGCGCGTGAATAACGTGAAAACCCAAGTGCCCCGTTTGAATAAGCGCCCCTCATAAGATTTTCTTTTTAGCAAGTCAATAATCCAACCAATCCTGGGACTGTGGTTGTTGCCATGATTTGAGCTGTAGAGTGGAAACACATTCTTCTTCAGTCAATATCAAAATAAGGATATTTCTCTTGGACAGATGAGAGCTCCGATCCCTGGACACATGAGAGCTCCGATCCCTGGACAGACAGTATATTTCCAACTTTAATCTTTTTTACATATTTGTCTATGTCTGGTCCTACTCCTCTTTTTCTTTTTTCGACCTTAAGCACATTCTCATCTGAGTTTTCAAGAAAAATACAATGATCCTGCCATCCTGCTAATCTCAGTCGGCCGATGGCCAACAAGCTAACCACTACCCACCACTAATTGCATCTGCTATTTTGCTGTTATGTAAATATTCATACATTCTTGTTATGAGCCATGTTCTCTGGATGATTATCTTTTCTAACCACCATTCGTAATGTCCTTATATAATCTTTTTTTTTTTTATGCAAAAAGTGCCTCTTGAATTTTTAATTATTAAAATAATTTCCCATAAGAACCCCTCGATTTTCATCTATTTCCATAAGCGCCCCCTCAATTTCCACTCTTGTTTTCATAAGCGCCCCGTTTGAATAAGCGCCCCATTTGAATAAGTGCCCCTCAGAAAGTGCAAAAAATATGTTAAGCGGCCGGGCGCTTATTCGCGCGAGTACGGTATTTAGGTATTGTGGGTACAGATATCCTACAGTTGATATTCAAACACACTGAATAATGAAGCATTACAACTCTAGTAAATTTATTTGGGATTTGCAATAACAAGTTCAGCATAATTAATCCTCTTTTTAAAATGTAATTGGATTTGATTCCTGAAAATTTATAGTGTACTGTACTTTTTTAGCCTGGGTTCCAGGCCCTAATATTGGGTTTAATTTATTATTTACCTAATTTATTTGGCATCCCATACTCGATTTCTTTATTTTATGATTAGGATTTCATTATTTCTGTCTCAAAATTAACTTGCTCGTTGGTGGTGCTGTCCAGAATGAGAAAAAATAATTAAAAGGGACTTGTGGCATGTCTATTTTAACTTAGCGAATTATTTATAAACTGCAATGGATTGCCATGGTATCTGTCTCTTATACACATCTAGATGTGTATAAGAGACAGCATTTACTCCCGGCAATTGATTAAAATGCAAATGGAAAATGATATAAATTTTGAATGTATAATTATTTTATAGCATTGTCAGATAAGGAGTTTAGTGTCCTTAAAACTGAAGTCTCACAATGGTATGACAGCTATGAAAGACTTCCTATGCTGAAAGTATTGTTTAGAGACAAGGTGGACAGTTGTGAATTATCACCAGTAATTCTCACAATGGACTTGCTGAATATATTATTTGCACGTGGTCATCTGAGTTCACAGAATTTTGGAATCTTGTGTGATACTATTAGCATTACCAAACAGTTGGGTCTTTTACCGAAGATTAAAGAAAAACTGCCATCATTCCCAGATGTGGAGGAAGGAACCATTTCAAAGATGTGTATAAGAGACAGGCATGCTCAGGTTGGTAGATACACTTATACTGTAAAACATATAAAGCAGGTGGAGCTCGATGTTTTCTGCTTTATATGCAAACACATTAACCAACTGAACCAACTACTATAGAGGGCTTTGTAGAAATTTTAATCCGATTGGCGGGACCTATTTTCTGTATGTGCTTAACAGCACTAGTTCACGCACTATGTAACCAAAAATGTTGTAAATAATAATAGGCCTAATCATATGCCTGAAAATAATAAATAATAATGTGTGGTTTTTATATAGCACAAATAAAAGAGATTAATACAATCAAAAAAATAATCTATCAGATTAGTCTCATTTAATAAAACAAGAAATTCCACTCATTCACATTGCATGCAATCTGTTTAACAGTAATATTTCAATTCTATTTTTTTTTTACTTTCAAAACTTTTTGTACAGGAACGAAGGATTTTCAGGTTATGTTGATGCAATTATCGAATTCATTACTGTACGATGACCACAACAATTATTGTACAAACATCAAATAAAGATGGCAGTGATCTGCTAAGATTCACGACCACTGTTAGTGGCCAGTGGTTCAAAGATACAGGAAATGCGTTCAGATCATGCAAATTTCAACCCCTGTTGTCAAAGGTAAATCATTAATAACTTTTTATTAAAATTTTTTTAAATTTATTTAAACAAATTATTATGAACTTTTATGAAGACACAAAATCATTTTTTTATTCTTTGAAATTTGAAGGGATATTTCAGAAAGTGGCACGCACTCATGATGACAGGGAAGTATGAAGAAGCTCTGATGTCGTTACTTCAGGGACTATCGCTTGACCCCAATGTCACCAGCGCTAAAACAACACTGGCTCAGGTGAGAAACTATGTAAATAGTACTGCAATAGTAAATATAGTTGTTGCAAAACAGTACTTATAATCTTGTTCTACAATGTCAGGTCAGTGGACTTATGTAACAGCCAATCATAATGCAGCTCATTCTTATATAAGCACTGATGCATACGTTATACAACTTTTTCTATTTAGGCTGGGAGATAATATCTCCTGATATGAAAACAATCAATCAAATTATGACACACGTCACCTTTATTAAAGCTTGCTTTGTACAGGTATCTTTACTGGATTCATTTGAAATTGAGAATTAGTCAACATTTTATCTAATGGCTTTCAAAAAACATTTATAATGCTAAATGTTTTTTAATAATTAAGCGAAAATAAATAAAAGTAAGCTTTGTTTTTACTTTTTTTGTATTTGATATTTTTTTGTTACTTGGAATTTATGCTGATCATTATTATTGGATGACCTGGCGTCTGCAATACTTTTAGGTTTTAACCAATCAGTAAACAGAGGGAGTACAGGTAGTAACCAATCAGGTGACAGAGTGAGTGCAAGTAGTAACCAATCAGGTGACAGAGGGAGTTCGAGTATAGCCAATCAGGTGACAGAGGGAGTTCGAGTAGTAACCAATCAATTGAAGGAGAAAGTGCGAGTAGTAACACTAGCAACCAAAGCTCTTCCACAGATGTATGCTCCAGGGTAAATGAAAATATTTTACATATTATTACATGATTATTGATTTTTATTAATTTAATTATGATGCTAATTGTTTACTATGACAAAAAGAATTGTAGCCAAGGAGAAGGAAAAGAAGAGGTAGAAAAAGAAGAGAAATGGTGGGATGACAAGTGGCCTATTCAAGAATTTTGAATTGGTGGGTGGTGGAGAGAGAGGATGGGGGTAGTGTGTATTTTACGTATATGAAGGGGACTACCTCAGGCCCATCATAGTGGGGTCTGGCTATAAAATCTTATGTCACTCGAAAAAGCTCTGCGCACACAGCACTATGCAAATGAGCCAAGAACAAATCAGCAGCATGAAAACAATAGCGCGATGCCTTTGAAGTCTAATGTGTTCCCCGCCATCAAATGCTCAACAGGCTTTAGTTTACCAAAAAAAGTTGAACATGGCGAAATGGAGAGCACCTTCTTTTCTCAATTCGTACTATTTACAGTGAATCACTATGGCTGCGCAATCGTTTTCACCTTGAAGAAAATACATATTTTTCAAGGATCTGAAATACCAAATATATTAATATTTTCTACAAAAAAAAGTTTCAAATTTAAAAAAACATTTACATGAGCTTTAAAAGTATGGTGTATTTTCAACTTGAATTTTCTATAAATTGGATAAAACTCAATAATAGAGGGGTGGAAAAGAGTTGTTCATAACAGAGGGGAGTGGAAAAGAGTTGATAATAACAGAGGTAGGGAAGGGGGAGATGGAAAAGACTTTTTATTGCGTGATTGATTGAATGATTGAAATAATTTTAATTTGTTTTTGTACAGGTGAGCGAGAGCTTAGCTTCTAAATCAGGAAGCAATTCCGAAGACACTTACTGTAAAGATGAAGTAAAAACCAAAGGTATGAATGAATTATTAATTAATTAATAATTAATTAAATATTTTACAATGGTTAGGAAACAATTTGTTATGAAAGAGACACATTAGATATTGTTATATCAATTTAGTATTGGGGAAAAGGTATCCCAAATACATTGTTGCGTGGCTGAATTAGGTGCAACCTTTAGTTTTTATTTTAGCGAGAGATTTAATTTTAATTATTATTTTGTATTTTTTCAGATGCCTTTGATATTGGTGCAGTGTGCGCTCAAAAGAAACGAAAGCATTCTGACCCCACTACTGGCTGGCTCTTATACACATCTAGATGTGTATAAGAGACAGGGAGAAGAGAAAGAAGTTGTAGAAAAA